ATAATAATAATAATAATAATAATGGATTGCATTTATATAGCGCTTTTCTAGGCACCCAAAGCACTTTACAATTCTACTATTCATTCAATCTCACACACTGGTGCAGGCAGTTGTAGCCACAGCTGCCCTGGGACAGACTGACAGAAGCGAGGCTGCCATATTGCGCCATCAGCCCCTCTAACCTACCACCTACTGGTGTTGGCCAAAGTGTCTTGCCCAAGGAAACAACGACCAGGACAGAGAGAGCTGGGGATCGAACCGGCAACCCCCTGAACCACGGTCGCCCACGGTTGCTCTTAGAGCTGAAGAAGCTTCTCCGATGAGGGGTGAAACGTCTTCCAGGAAACTTGCAGAAGTCCAGACTCCTTTATTTCCAACCTCCTTAGATTATGATGACCTGGATGAGTGAGAACCTTCAGACATACACTATTGGAGAGACAACCCCAATAGCTGTTAAATCCTCTGTGAAAAGGCAACATTAGGAAAGAATTTTACCAGGAAGAGACCTTCAGCAGAATTTACTACCTTTCTGATTAGATAACCTGTAAATTGACACACACCCCTACCTCCCTACATAACAAATGATAGAGAATCAATTAGTATTTTACTCTGTTGTATGCTTGTTGATGCCTTAAGCAGCATTTGGTGAAAAGCTGACTTTGGCGATAAGGATAAGCAGACTGCTGTCGCCTCTCAGCTCCCAGCTTGCATTATTAGAAAGTCCTGTGGTGTTTTTCTGAGGATTTGATGCAGAGGCTATGCTCTTTGGCACTGTAGGAGGACGGTTTTACAACCAGGAGTGAAATTAACCTCTTCTCAAGCAGAATTTCATTTGACTTTGAACACACATTACTGACTGACCAAATGCGAATCATTAAAGAAAATATCCTGAGGTCATCATCACAGAGCAGCTTCCTCACGTCTATAGCTTTAAATCGGAAAGACGGTGCCAGCCAGGCACCCAGAGAGCTCTTACATCACTACCAGGAAATTGGAGAACTTTACTGAAAGCCATAGTGACAAAGCAGGTTGCCTTGGCTGTAGGTTATCATGGGATCCAATTGCTATTGCAGCTAACGGGTATAACAGATGACAGATTGCCTTTATTCCCAGTGCTGAGTCTCTAAGAAATATAGCACGTTTTACAAGTGTTATTTACAGCTTTGTTCCTGTACCAGGATGACAAATGAATTGGATTTTACTATATCTTTCCACATGAAACAGTATGAAACATCAGGAGGTGTGGCACAGTCCGATAAAGCTCTGTTATTTGATCAGCGGTAAGCAGAGGGAAACTGGGGAAGAGATCTTTGATCACCTTTGCATATGAGCAGTTTGAAATCAAGCTGTATGCATCAAGCTTTCAGTATCCAAAACAAGGGCAATAAACATCAGGGTGTAGTTTTTTTGTTTTTGTAAAGCAGAAGCTTTTTGTGTTGCAAAACAAGAAAACAAATGTGTTGCATTTATAATAGTGACAGAACCACAGGAGGAAGAGTTGTTAAAGTAGTGTTTCATCCTTTCTGCTCATGCTTCGCCAGCTTAAGTGTTGATTAACTTGTAGCACTACCTGTGAGGTAACAGAGGAATGTGGAGTAGTGTGCCACAAAAAGTTGATTGTAATTATCTGAACATCGCTTGGATGAGTGAAATATTTCTCCCAGATGAACAGAATAAACTTTCTAGGATTTCCTTATCTGGATGGTTGAGGATGCATCAAGACTTGGAATAGTTGGGTTACCGTTTTACTGGATTTTGTTTCATTGGCACAATGGCACAATAGCTCTTCGGCCTCACCTCCTGGATGATCACTTCAATTCACTTCAGCTTTAAGTTCAAATAAATTTTATTTATATAGTGCCAACACACAACATTCACCCCAAGGTACTTTTTATTGTAAGGTAAAGAATAATTTTGCAGTAAGTTTACAATAATAGGGAGAAAATCCCAACATTCACATCATTTCCTTTGAGAAAGCGCTTGGTGACAGCAGGATATAAAAACTCCCTTGGATTTAACAGGGAGCCATGAAGAGAATCCAGGATTGGAGCCATGTCTCATCTTTTTTTTCTTTGTTTTTTAATAACCTCATTAACTTTACATATTTTTCTACCTCGGGCACTTTAATACTGCACCAACACCTTCTCATCAGCACCTCAGCACTGCCACTCACACATCCTTTCTTCTTTAGTTTCACGTTGGTGCTTGTACCTGCCCTGCTGCTGAACAGATGCCAGGTTGAACAGATGCCTACTCCTCTTCAAAATCTGCTCTTCCTCCCCCTCTCTGCAGTATCCATTGATTTTCAGGCAGCACATCTCTAACCTTTTTCTTTGACCTGCAGCTGCTTGAGTACACATCATGTTTAATAAGCCATGCAGCAGCACATGCCTGTTATTTCTTTATTAAGCAATTAAACCACTATGGTTGACCAGAAAACCTGGTTAACAGAGACTTTACTATTCTAAGTTCAGTGAACAACCTCAGGATTTCATTGGAAGCATGTTTGGGAAGACTCCTAGGAGAAATATCTGACTGACAGCTAAATACTTTAAATAGCTGCTGGAATCAAAGGTGGGTGGATTAATATGACTGAATATAAATCTGTGAGTCAAGAAACCAAAACAATGAACCAGAAGATTGAAGCTAAATTAGCCAGTTCGGGAGATCAGTGATCTTCAGTATGGTGCAGTTAAAGAACAGTCAAACACAGAGTAAGTGAAAGACAGACAGATGCAAAGCAGATGAAAGAGGATATGGACAGCAACTACAGGCAAAGCAGCATTTTCCTCTTCCACACTACAAGCTTAGCTCATCTTATCTTCCTCCATCTTGTGCATGTTTCTGTTTCAGTTACCTTCACATGATACCTTAAACTCTAAAACTAGTGTTGTTTTATTGGTTTGTTATTTCTCTTGCATTTATTTTCACATAAGTATCTTTCCTCATGTGTTTGTTACCACTTTTTCCCCCCTTAACAGTACTTCTTTCTTTGTGACTGGGGAAAAACACAATTTCTGTGACTGCTTTGTTGTGTACTTTACTACTTCCATCCAGCACTGGCTCCTGATCCAATATCAGGTCATTCACTCACCTGAATCTTAAAAGACAAGCATATCTGATCTATTTCAGCTTTACACTTGATAACTTACTAGTTTACACTTGACCTTTATGTTAAGCTAGCTTTTTTCTAGATATAGGATATTGGTGGATTTAAACAGTCTTGCAGTGTTTTTATTTTTTATTTTTAAGTTCATGTTAGGGCAATTGTGGCTCAAGAGTTGCCAGTTCGTCTTGTAATCAGAAGGTTGCCGGTTCAAGCCCCAGCTTGGACAGTCTCGGCCGTTGTGTCCTTGGGCAAGACACTTCACCCGTTGCCTACTGGTGGTGGTCAGAGGGCTCGGTGGCGCCAGTGTCCGGCAGCCTCGCCTCTGTCAGTGCGCCCCGGGGCGGCTGTGGCTACAATGTAGCTGCCATCACCAGTGTGTGACTGTGTGAATGGGTGGATGACTGAATGTAGTGTGAAGCATTTTGGGGTCCTTAGTAAAGCGCTATACAAATACAGGCAATTTACCATTTAGTCCATTTAGGTACCCTACACTTCACAGGTAGTTACTTCAATCATGTGCCTCAAAACTGAGAAACATTTAACACAGGAAGTGCACACTAATTTCACCCTTTTTTCTTAAAGGTTTTTGTAAATATTAGGTGAACATCACATTTAGTATTACATAGTGAATTTTTTGTACACTGCTTTTGTAATGCTGCTGCATTATCCCCCTAAACAACAGGTGTCACCATTCACACAAAGTGACTGACTCGGTGATGGTGTAGGAGGAGGAGTAGTAGTAGTAGTAGTAGTAGAAAGTCTCAGCTTTACAGTCTGTTGCAGCATCTCCCATATCACTAAAATTGTAGCTAAAAATTGGCGTGATCCTACATGGCATGTCTTCCACCTGGCTGTGATGGCGCTGGCTGCTGCATCACCTGTGTGAGGGGAGGGGGGGGAACCTCCCAAAAAAACAGAAAGGTGTGAGACTGCCTGACACCAAAGCCCGCTTGCATCAGGGGATGTGACATGTGTGGTGCAGAGTATGACAAGCATATTGGTGCCCCACCCCCCACCTCAAGGAAAAATTAGGTCCAATTACCTTTATTTACTCACCCCACCCCCAACACCAATTGAGAGCAGGTGCAACAGACACAAACACAAAGAAATTAATGACACTGGCTGCATTACAAAAGTCATGAATGCACTTGTGCGCACACAGTCCTGTTGAGGGAATAGATTTTCCGACTGTGTGTGTGTGTGTGTGTGTGTGTCCCATTGGTGGTATAGTGTTGTTGATTGCTTGCACATCTCAGCCTGCATTATTAATCAACACTACACACTGGAGGCCATTTTGGTCACACTTGGGGTGTTTCTGCACTCATATTGCACTCACCCCATTTATAGCTTCCTAATTGATTAGCAGCACAACATAAGATCTATGACAGGCCTTCTCTGAATGCCACACACACACACCCTGTGAGTCAGCTGACGGTTGGTCTTGTGTGTAGTGTGGTCTTAGCTGTAATGACTGCCTGTCACATGGTGCTCTCTTCCTAAAAGTCCTGTATCACATTCCCAGTAGTGAAGCAGAAGCAACAGACTCGTTAAACAGCAGCTGGCAAATGTTCAGAGGCCATGTCAAGTTAATGTCATACAAATACAGAATAGTAGTAATCTCTTCTTTTATCAACTTTTTTCCCTCCATTATTAACCGGTCTGCATCAAGCTACAGCATGAACTGAGGCCTCCTGTGACCTTTGTTAGTGCTCTACCTTGTTCTGTTCTTCACTTCAGTTTAGATGCTGCAGATCTTAATGTGCACAAGTGTGAAACTAAATATAGACCAAATGAAACTGACCTCAAAAGCAAGTTGGTTTCCCTGTGACACAGTTACACTGTTACTTTCATGTTTCTATGTCTAAATTTTCTATTTTTTTGTTGATGTCAGGAATATGAAACAAAGAGTGGCAGAGCTGGATCTGGCAACCCAACATCTCCGAGGCAGAGTGTGAGGAAAAACCTGGATTTTGAGCCTCTCTCCACCACTGCGCTGATACTAGAAGACAGACCTGCGTATGTAAACACAAACGGCGCAGTCACATTTTTCTTTCCCTCTCACTGTCAGCTGAGTTTGCTTATCAGACATAAAAGCCAATCTCCTTCTTCCTCTCATTTCTTATCAGTTCTCCTTCCCCTGTTAGGTCGTTAGGCTCTGTTCTGCATTGTTTCAGCTCTCACTGTTTCCCCGCTTGCATCGCAGATGGTAAAAGAGACGTGCTGCTGAAAGTTTAATGGCCCTCGCTGAGCTTGGTTTCATTACCCTCCCTTTTGTCTTTTGTCTTTTTTTTTTTTTTATTAAGCATGTTGTAATGTTTTTGCATTCAGGCCGACAGACATGCCGGGCAACATCTTTGAGTACTGCTGCTTAGCCGTGAGCTAAGTGTATGAAAACGTATTCAGACACATTTCCTCTGTGAACACCAGGAAGTTTATTTTGACACCATGAATGGCAGAACTGCATTCAGCTGCTGCTCCCTTTGTGGCATGCAGCCTCTCATGTGTCTGCACACAAGCTCTGAACCTGCAAGAAAAGTGCACATGATGTGTTTTATAACAAATGTGACTAACCGTAGCATATATATTTTAACATTTATTTTGCTGTTAACAAAGATGATTTATTTTAGCATTGTTACTAATGTTGTTTTTCACATTGCAATTTAATAATTGAATACGTTTAAATTTAATGCTGTTTGTATTTATGTTTATTGTCACAGTTGATAAGAGTATAACAAATATAGTCTGATGACTTTGGCACATAGCATTTTATACACTGTTGAAAAAAATAAAGGAACACTTTTTAATCGGAGTATAGGATCATGTCACTTAAGTAGCAGAGCTGCTTAATCAGTTTCAGCTGTGCTGGTCGTCTCTCCCTGAGCCTGGTTCTGCTGGAGGTTTCTTCCTGTTAAAAGGGAGTTTTTCTTCCCCACTATCGCCAAGTTGGGGGCTTTTCTGTATGATTGTATCCTCTATCATACATTATAGAGCACGTTGACGCGACTGTTGTTGTGATTTCGTGTTATATGAGTAACAGTGAATTGATCTGCTTGAACTTCATGAAAGCCGTCCAAATAATGAAAGTTGTGTTGCACATTGTTAACCATATACACAGTTTTGATACGTTTTTTTTGCCATGCAGAAGACTCAAAGCAAGATGGTGGAAAGGAAAACAATCTGCACTGTAATGATTGTAAATGTTCCTTTAGTTCATTGTGTTTTCTTTTCTTTTCTCAAGGTCCGTTGTAGTACGTGCTGTGGAGTGTTTTCTTTATCAGTTTGACTGTTGTCTTGGAATATAGATGTTTATGTTCCTCCTTTATGTTCTTTCCCTGAGCCTATTCAGAGTCCTTATTCCAAGAATAAACTTTGTTGCCAGGGGCTGATATATAAAGTCAAAGGTGTTGAGAAAATTTAAGTGCTTATTGATTTTAACCAGCAACTAGCACGACATCAGCCAAGTGATTTAGGAAGACTGGAAAAGATGAAAAAAAAGAAAAAAGGGTCATCTAATGTTTGTAGCATGTTAAAGAGGCAGTAAGTTGAATTTACTGGAATATAAGCAGCTGTGTTCACTCCATAAACACATGCAGCTTCCTGTCCTGATGTTCTTTTTATACACTCCAAGATTGCTCAGCATGAGTAATGCAAGAGCACATAGTTGCTAACCGTGTGTGTGTGTGTGTGTGTGTGTGTGTGTGTTTGCATTTGCATGTGCAGTAACCTGCCTGCCAAGCCAGCTGAGGAGGCACAGAAACACAGGCAGCAGTATGAAGAGATGGTGGCCCAGGTTAAGAAGAGGGGTGAGTTCAGTGGAGTGAACTGAGGCTGCAGCTTCAGCATTAATGTTGCTTTCTTTCTTTTTTTTCCCCCTCCAGCCTGGCACACTACACAATAGTTCAGACTCTTATTTCTGTCCAGTCTGTTGTCCGCTCCTCTCTTTCCCGTGTAATTTTATGTTTAATGACTTCTGCAGAGTTAAAAGAAGCTCAGAGGAGGAAGAAGCAGCTGGAGGATCGATGCAAGCTTGAAGAGAGCATTGGCACAGCAGCTCAGACCTGGAACCAAGACATCCTGCCTAATTGGAGTACAGTGTGAGTACAAAAAAGACTCTGGTTTGAATTATAACATATTTAACAATAACAAAGCTCATTGCTTTGCTTCGGTATATTCAGTTGTGCAGTTAGCTTCCATCCCAACAGCTAGAGTCACAACAACAAAAATGCCGTATCAGTGTTTAGCATTTGTGTTTAGGTGGCTACGAAGGTTAAGCCTGATGTTGGTCCTCGCTGCATGTTACACTGCGGGATTACATGGAGCTTTACTGCCGTTTTATTCTCAGTTTAATGCAGAACTCAATGTGCAGTATTTCTTGGTCAACATGTACAGTATTCAGGGTTTGTACAGGTGCTTGAAAATGCTTGAATTTGACCCTGAAAAGAGCCGAACTATAGGAGTGTACATGTTGGAAGAACACGCAATAGTGTTGTTGACTTTGGACTTGAATTTTTAATGAAATACAAAGAAGTACAAGTCAGAGAAAATAATGACCAACAAATTCAACTCGCTATTCCTTTATTACCACATAGACAGTTTTACTTCTCTGCCTGCTTAAAGGTTTACTGAATCTTCAATATTTGATCCTTCTTGGGAGCATTTAGTACACTGCTGCTGTTGGCCAGCACTGCAGGGCGGAAATGCAGTATGCAGACATAAGAATATAACAAGACATAACTTGTTGTGGCGGTTAAGCTGGAAAAACGCGTTCAAACCGGTGTGGTCATCTCAGGTAATCTTCATAAAAGTACCAGGCTCCTCCTGCAGGTGTACTCCTTGGATTAATATGTGACTAATTCACTTCACACTACCAAACATCGTTACAGTACTGCTGCCAGATCGTTCCTTTAGTCTATTGTATCTTTATTACTACAACAATACAAACAGAAGACAGTATAGATGGTGTTAGACTGAAGGAAAGTGTTTTTCTTGCTTTCGAATCAGTGGTTTTCCAATTAGGTTATTGTTAACCTATGGCCTACTCTATAAAACATTTTTATCATAGACTCTGATGTGCTTAACATTTTTTTCCCCTCTAATCCCCCACTGCTACAGGTGTACATCTCGACGAGTGAGGGACCTCTGGTGGCAGGGCATCCCCCCCAGTGTCAGAGGGAAAGTGTGGAGCCTGGCTGTGGGCAACGATCTCAACATAACACACGGTACGTGGGAATGAGTGTGTGTGTGTTTTCTCAAGTTAAAAGATCTGTTAGCAGGCCAAACCTTAACCGAAAAACTGCCAGCTGGGTTAACTTAACCTAGCCCTGAATTATGTCTGCAACTTAAAATGTAACAGTTTCTTTAATGCGAGCGTTTTGATGCTCAAAAGTTGGTGTTCTTCTCATTGGGTGATTGCACAAACACACATCCCCACAAAATAAGTAATAAAACACACACACACACACACACACACACACACACAGATGGGTGCACCAATTTGTCTCAGTGTTTGTAGTTGAATGTGTGGCAGTGAGATGGATGGAAGAGGAAGGAAGAGCGTGTCCATTAAGGAGCACGGTCCAATAATTCCCCCAGTACACGAGACAGCACAATCACACACAGCACCTAAGACACACACACACACACACACACACACACACACACACACACCACCACACACCACACACACACACACACACACACACACTACCCTCATCTTCCTCTTGAGAATGGAGTACAAACTGAAATTGGCATTCCTTAGACTGTGTGTTTGTGTGCATGCATGCTCAAATGTGTGTGTGTGTGTGTGTGTGTGTGTGTGTGTGTGTGTGTGTGTGCTCCTCAGCACCCTCAAGGCTGCTTGCAGATAAGCACTCTCTCTGACTGCTGAGCTGGTCTGCTCCACTTTGTGCTATTCATCGTTTTAACTGGAGCTACACTATCCTACACACCAAAACACACACTGCAGTCACACACACACTCGTGGAGTTTTCAGTCCCTTTAAAGTAGCTGCATGGGCAGCTCAGTGACAGCACTCCCTCACTTTCACAGAAGCATTTTTATTATTGATGCTAATGCTACTACTAATGTCTTTGACTGGCTTGCAGATGAGTAATATAGCAGAGCAATAATCTGTCTTTAATGATTAGAGAAATTGTTCACTTGTCATAACGTGCAATTATTTACAGCAGCTTTAAATAAATATCAGCTGTTTTAAAACTCTGAGTTAACTTCACTAATCGGTTCCTCCAAACCATCAACGTCTCTATTAGACCAATCACCCGACGGGCTGCTTAAAGTCCTAGCATCAATTAATGCTTCAATCTGTCTTTAACGAGCTGCATACCACAGGCTAACCGATCATCAGCTTAACCTCTTCATCCTACAAGCAGCTTGTTGTAGTTCAGATTTGACTCGATCACTAGTGTAACTCTCCACGTCTCCTCTCTGAACGCTCAATATTAAATCTAGCATCTGAGCACCAGAGGGCAGCAGCAGTTCAAAGGAAAGGCTGTAACAGGCTGCACAGCAGTGCAGTCTTCTGTAATTGGGGGACATGTTTTCTTCAGTCACCTTCACTGTTTGCTGATGCAGAGCACCATAAAGCTGAGTGCTTTCTGTCCATTTATCACGTTCACATTTCACTGTCTTCAAACTTGTGTGTCCCTCCAATCTCTCACATTAACTTCACTGTGCTGCTGTTTGTGTGTCTGTGCAGAGTTGTATAACATCTGTCTGTCCCGGGCCAAGGAGAAGTGGAAGAGCACAGCGACACTCTTCACCGAGACTGAAAGTGAAGGTGGAGTTTCTAAAGAAACTGCTTTAATTTTATAATAATACTCATATTTTTCCAGTTTTTTTTTTAATGTGCTGAAATGTCTTGCAGATGTTGGTTCCTCAGACAGAGAGTCAAGTCTCGAGCTCATCAAGCTGGACATCTCAAGAACTTTCCCACAACTGTGCATCTTCCAGAAGGTCAGTGAGAGAGAATTAGAATAAAGTTTCAGCACGATGTGGGTAATGGGATGCACCGAAGCAAAACGTGACTAAACTGAGCAAGACATGAAAGGAACGTCTTGCTTATTTTTGTGAAAAAATATTTGTATGATTGAAACAGCTTGTAAATGTAAAAAGGTGTGTGTACGTTGTGCGTTTTTGGACTCATTGTTCCATTGTTTTGTTTTTCTTTGTACGTCATCAGGGTGGGCCCTATCACGACGTGCTGCACAGCATTCTGGGAGCATACACTTGTTACAGGCCTGATGTTGGCTATGTAAGTCACACATGCTTAACCAATATTACATCATGTTGTGATACTCACACCTGTGACTGGTGCATGTTACAGCTTCATGTTTAGGACAAAAACACAAAGTGCCACATGAATATCTCAAGTATAGAAAATATTGTTTAGTCATGAGATTCTTACATCTACTGGCGCTGAAATTTAGATTGATTTTTAGAGACCATAAAGAGTTTATTCATCTATATGCTCTTATTTAACAAACGAACAAATAAAACAATTTCTGTTTAATACATTTGTTCAGGTAGTAGATAAAACGGGTCAGTTTTACACCACAAATATAAGTCTTGTTCCCTTGGAGTCGCTCCACGACTTTGTCTTCTTGAAACTAAAGTGACTGTTCTTGGAAATTTTAAGTGAACTTTGAGATATTGCACCTTGCAGCTCATTGTGTATTATGAAGGTTAAACAGACTTTGATCTCCCACACAACACCTACAGTAGCCTAATATTAGCTTAAAATAAGACGATTCAATTTGCACCAAGTGGGAGGTTGCTGCCACACGCGAGGAGCTGAGTGGGTACTGAATATGAAGTCGGCAACATTTTCTATGCCGGTGTGTGATACAGTTCGATACCTGGGCTCAATGTAAGTGCAGCAAAAAGGGGAAAGCACGGTAATTTACCTCAAAGTCACCAAATGAATAGGAAGACAGACAGATGGTATGACTGTGAGTACGGTTCTCAAATATTTCACCAGTCTGAAAAACAAAATCCTGCCAGAAATAATAGAATATTTATGCCCGATTCCTTCTCATTAAGTAAATCAATGCTTTACCTGCTGTGCCATCTTTATCTTCTTACTCTTGGCACTAAGTATTTCTTTCAAGCACTGATATTTCACTAGGTGTCCTGATTAAAAGCACTTCATACTCATTGGCTTGATTTCGTGCATTTTGTCTTTTTCATATCAATTATAAAACAGTTGTGCACAACCTTCTTTAGCTCCATCATATTCTCCAGTATTTTTTCTCAAAAACCTCCCAAAAGCTGCTAATTGATTGTAAGTAAGGAATATATTGCACATGAATTACAGTTATATAAGCTTTGGTGTGGTAGTAGTACCACTTGAATAGTCACTCCCCTCAATGGAATGTATTAATAGATGTGGTCTAACATTATAAAACATGACACGTATTAACATACACAGGCTTTTATTTTAATGAAATCATCAGATTCATATAGAGGATGGTCCTGTTGGCAATCTGTGTGAGCGTTTCCACCCAACTGAAGCTCTGTATGAGGAAAATGATGCATTTTCAGATTTATTACATTATACCATAGGTTTGTTTTTAGTGTAAGTAAAGGTGCTTCAGATTTCCAGTAGATACATTTGTTACTGATGCTGAGAGCTGATCTAAAAGGATAACTCTGCGTGTTTGGTATCAATCATACGAAGGACAAATGTAGTTGAGTCTCATTTGATCTGGTTTTCTGTTTGCGATCTTTTTTGGGTTTCAGTTGGGATACATCCATATGTATGCATTTCTTTTTAAGTTTCCTATTTCTGCTCGACTCACTTATGTTCCTTTTTGCAAGCTATGATGAGTAAAATGTAGGATGCTATTTACAGAATGTGGGGCTAGCCAACTGTAGAAAAGGGAGCCTGTGATTAACCTCTGCTGAATTACTTATGCACAAGAGCACACGTGAAAATTTACAGAATTTTCTAAGCAAGCAAAAATTACTTGGAAATTTAGAAGGACCCTCAGGACTGAGCATTAATATTAAAAGCGAATCATTTTTCATTTCTGATAGTATTAAATATTACATTTATGATTGGCATTAGTGTGTTTAACAGGTGATGTGCTCAGAGTAATTTCTAGAATTCTCTAAGCAACAGATTCACATTTGTTTGCGCTGTTTCGTCTTTTGTGTTTTTGGGGGGATTTTTTGTGCCTCATCACCAGCAACCAGTCAAAAGATCGGTTCTGTGTGACGTTCACTAACCCTAAAATACCGTGCCCAGGAGATTGGTCAGGGGGTTTCTGCAGCATGTAGGTTCCATTTTAAAGTTAGAAGACCTCAAATATTTTCCTTCCATTCGCTCTTTTCTTCCTTTCAAGGAGACTTTGTATTGAGCCTCAGTGACGCCCTGGATTTCCGACTCTAGTTTCTCACGATGCCCTGATCCTCCCTTATGATACTTTCATGGTTTACTTGATTCCTAGAAATCAAAATGAATTTTTTTGGCTAAAGTTTTATTTATTTTTTAAACTATTATTAATAAAATGTATGTTTTTGTTCATTCACAGTGTTGGCCTGTTAAAATATCAAACAAACCAAAAACCCATAGGGGGATGTATTCAGATTGATTACTTTATTCATTAAATCATCCAAACCTCCAAACATTGAATTTACAAGACGTGCGCAGGAGCATCAGCAAACAATCTGCACATTTACAAAGTGTGAGCGAATATTTGGGATGAAGAAGCAATGATCGCTGGTAGCAAAGCAGTATTTTTAAAAAGTCACCTGCTACATTTTGTTTATGTTGTCAGTTGTAATGGACCTGACCAACTGTGCTCTCTGTTTTATTGTTTCTCTCAGTATCATCACTGTGTGCTCTTACAGCAAAATTGCTGCATTTGCACTAATGAGCAGTGCTGCTGTGGTTTGCCTTGCTGCTCCTACCCGCAGCCCCATGCTTTTGTCTATAGACAGGTAGAAATGACTGTGACTTCCTGCATTTGACCCCAACCCATGAGCAGCTACACATACACACACTCTCAGTCTGTGTAAGCTGTACGCAGGTTTAGCTCTTTCCATTTCTCCATCAGCATTATCATCTCTCTCCCCAGATTTATTGTCCATGCTACTTGTAATACTTGCACATCACTGTCAAAGCGCCTGCACCGATTAATAGTGTTTGACTCAAATGCAAGGTTACCCGTTAATGACTTCCTGCCAGTGTTTCTGTCTAAATATTACAACATTTGACACGTACAAGCTCGCACCGTCACCGGTTTTAGGGTTGCTGTAAGTATTCGCTTGTACTGACTCTGTGTTTGTGTGTTTTTAAGGTGCAGGGAATGTCCTTCATCGCTGCTGTGCTCATCCTGAACCTGGACACAGCCGATGCCTTCATAGCTTTTGCCAACCTGCTCAACAAGCCCTGTCAGATGGCCTTTTTCAGGGTTGACCACAGCCTTGTAAGTAAACAAAGAGCATGGCAAACACGTGCGCGCCCACTTATTTCACACGCAGTACCTATAAATACACATGACTCTGAGCTTTCTTAAAATAAACATATATGTATACATATGTGTTGACTGCAAATCACCTTTTTCCGCCAAGCTCTTTGTTCAGCTGTAAAGTTGAGAACTTAAAGGTTAAAAAAAAAAAAATCTGTTTGATTTAAAACATTTATCAGTAATACCTAATACGTCAGTAAATTCCATTACCTGTTTTACTGAATATAGCAGTGCTAGTGCTGTTATTTCTAACCACATTTATAAACTTGGTAATGTTACTGTCCCATCATCATCTCTACTGTGTTTACACACTTGTCTCCATTCAAACCAAAGTGTCTGTCATTTGTGTCTGACTCACTGAGCAAACTGTAAGTGTGGTTTGGGTTTACTTCTCTCTAAGACCACCTCCTCTCCTCTCTGCAGATGTTGACGTACTTTGCAGCATTTGAAGTGTTCTTTGAAGAAAATCTACCAAAGCTATTTGCACATTTCAAGAAAAACAACTTGACACCTGATATTTATTTAATTGACTGGTGAGTGCTTCCCTGTATTGTGCTATTGCCTCATTTTATTTTATATCTGCTGTTTTGTTTTAACAGTGAACTTGCATCTATTGATGAACATGAATTACTTGGCAGTGTGTCATTTCATTGATGCAGCAAAGCTCTACCGATTCGTCCTCCACCCACACGCACAGTGCACTTTGTACCCCGTCTTGCTGAAAACACGCTACATGGCTTCATCTCGAAACATGACACTTGCCTCACATTCAGTTTGTCATACTTTCAGTGTCAGGTGTGTTTCTGAGAAAACAGGAAAGGGGCTGTATGAGTGGTCACTGCCCATTTGAGGTAGAAATTTGTTTGTATCTTCACTTTAACCACATATATGCCACATAACTAGGGCAATAATATCAATCATTCATTTTTATTCACAGACTTCTGACTTTAATATTGTGAATTATTGTGTTGTTGTTTTTTGTTTGTTTGTAATTACACCTAAAACAGACGTTTAGTTTTATTAAGAGAGCAGGTGGTAGTCAGCTCGCCTCTAAATCCCTTGAAGCTTGTAACAACGTAGAAAGGAGCCTTTTTTCTTTTAAAAAGTGTTTTTGTTTTTGTTTTTTTTATTTGCATGCGGAGTAATTCTGCAAATATTTGTGAAAGGATGGGTCGCTCTCAGGAGCTCAGTGAATTCAAGCTAGGATGCACCTGTGCTACCAGTCCAGACATTTCCTCACTACTACGTATTCCAGTCAGCTGTTAGTGGAATTATAACAAAGCAACTGGGAACTGACAGAAGTGGTAGGCCTTGTAAAATCACAGTGGATGCTGAGGTGCAAACGTGAACAACTTCAGCTTCATGGACTGGGTTTCCATGGCTGAGCAGCTGAATCCTTACATCACCAGGCACAGTGCAAAGCGTGGGATGCAGTGGTGTAAAGCACACTGCCACTGGAGCAGTGTGTTCTCTGGAGTGACCAATCACGTTCTGTCTGGCAATCCAAACGATAAGTCTGTGTTTGGTGGTTCCCAGGAGAACGGTACTTATATGTCAAGTGTAAAGTTTGGTGTGGGGTTGTTTTACAGAAGTTGGGCCTGCCCCCTTTGTTCCAGTGAAAGGAACTCTTAATGTTTCAGGATACCAAGACATTTTGGATAATTTCATGCTCCCAACTTTGTGGGAGCAGTTTGGGGATGTCCCAGTGCACCTCTGGAAGAATGGACAAAAATAAATGCTTTCCTAAACTTTATGTAAAAGAAGAGTTGAATCTGTTAAAGCTGCTAAGGTTTAGACATCAAATTAAACCTTATGGAATAAAAATGGGATGTCACTTAAGAAGTTCATGTGCGTTTGAAGGAAGACGGATGAGTAGTTTTTACTATATACTGTATCTTTCCTTTGTTTATCTATCAGGACGTGAGGGTAGATCTTAGAAGTTGGTACATGAAGTCAGATTTCAGCAAAGAAACTGTGTAACTCTCAGTACATGTGTTTCTTTAATATGTTAACAAAGGTCATTTCAAATTTCTGTTGCTATTAGTGACTTTGTTTTATGTAGAGTGCTGCTGTGGTTTGCCTTGCTGCTCCTACCCGCAGCCCCATGCTTTTGTCTATAGACAGGTAGAAATGACTGTGACTTCCTGCATTTGACCCCAACCCATGAGCAGCTACACATACACACACTCTCAGTCTGTGTAAGCTGTACGCAGGTTTAGCTCTTTCCATTTCTCCATCAGCATTATCATCTCTCTCCCCAGATTTATTGTCCATGCTACTTGTAATACTTGCACATCACTGTCAAAGCGCCTGCACCGATTAATAGTGTCTGACTCAAATGCAAGGTTACCCGTTAATGACTTCCTGCCAGTGTTTCTGTCTAAATATTACAACATTTGACACGTACAAGCTCGCACCGTCACCGGTTTTAGGGTTGCTGTAAGTATTCGCTTGTACTGACTCTGTGTTTGTGTGTTTTTAAGGTGCAGGGAATGTCCTTCATCGCTGCTGTGCCGACTTTGTCTTCTTGAAACTAAAGTGACTGTTCTTGGAAATTTTAAGTGAACTTTGAGATATTGCACCTTGCAGCTCATTGTGTATTATGAAGG